GGGCTTCCCTCCCTCCTTGGACCCTTGGGTCTCCCGGGGACCTCGTGGAGGGGATGCACGAGTGCTGGGGTTCCCCAGGTGGCCAGCTCCATGGGGCCTAACCGTTCTCTTTTCCTCCCTGCTGTCTGAGAGGAGCTGGCTTACAGGGACACAGGTGACAGCTGGGGCTCACACTGACCTGCGTCCTCCTCAGGACACACACGGCCCCGAGCCCCAGCCCGATGAGGAGGAAACCTACAGCCAGGGCCACGGTGAGGGCAATGTGTGTGTGTGTCAGCTGAGCCTCCTGGCATGTGTTCGCTTCTTGGAACAGTGCGTCTGGGAAGAAGGAAGGGAGAGGGGTAGGGGAGTCCATGAGAACCCTTGGGGTTCAGGGCAGGGAGGGGCTCTGGAGTGGGGTCAGTCTGGGAGGCTTCCTGGAGGAGGCGGGCTGGAGCTGGAAGGAACAACTCCAGCAAGTGAAGAGGGAAGAAGGCACCCATCAGGAGCAGGTGGAGCCCAGCCTGGCCAGCACATAGGCGGAGTGCTCCCAGGGGTGGGTTCGCTCCCTACCTGTCACGGTGACAAAGGTGTAGGAGCCCCAGGCCACTTCATCCTTAATGAACTTGCAGATATAGGTGTTGGTGTCCTCCGGCTGCAGGTGTTGCATGGTGATGGTCAGGTTGTACTGCGACCCTGAGAAGGCAATGCGCCCCCAAAACCGCTCGTCCACGGTGGGCTCCTTCCCGTCCGCATAGAAAATCACTTTGAGCAGATTTGACTCACAATTTTGCATCAGGTAGACCCCATACAGGGGCTGGACAGAGGAGCAGGTGATGTTGATGGAGCCCCCCTTTGGGGTGATCGCGTAGCGGGGGGACTGCCACACCTCTGCAGGAAAGACCCACCACTGTCACCACTGGCCTGGCCAGAGGGGCAGAGATCATCCTCCCCGCAGGGGACGGTGGCAGGAAGGAGGGGCCCCACTGACAGGTCACCACAGACTAGGCACCATGTGGGAGCCTTGAAGCAGTTCGGGGTGCCAGCACCCCAGTGGCTGCACTCAGTTCTGAGGGTCCTGCAGGCTGCCTGCAGACTCCCCCCAGGGTCAGGGGAGCTGGAACCGGGCTTCTGCCTTCCAAAGCAGCCAGCCCTTCACTGAGCGCCTCTTCGCCTCTCCCTTTCTTCAATGACAGTCCCCAAGATAGCTGCAGGCACTGTCCCATCTCCCTCTCTCTGTCCAACTCTGGCTGCCTGTTTCCACGCCATTTCCAGTGGCACATCCTTGCTTGTCTGTGGGGTACCCAGAAACACCCCTTGTCTGCCCAGCTGGGCTCAGCAGGACCAGCTTC